GTGCGACTGAACCTGGCTGGAGAACCTAAACCGAGCCTGGCTGGAGAACCTAGCGAGAGAACATGGCTACAGAACCTGGCTGGAGAACCTGGAGAACCTGGCTGGAGAGCCTAGCAAGAGAACATGGACACAGAACTTGGCTGGAGATTGTGGCTAGAGATCCTGGCAAGGCTGCTGATCAACTGAACACTGTCTCCGTGTCATTCCTTCTTCACCGACTCCGTCCACACCTTTGGGGACCCCTGGACCCGCTGGGGCTGGACCCCAGCAGTGAATGAATGGATAAATACAACATAATAGATACACAAGTGGAATATTATTCAGCTTTCAAAAAAGAAGGCAATCTCACCACTCTGACAACATGGATGAACCTGGAGGACATCATGCTACGGGAAATAAGCCAGTCACAGAAGGGCAAATGTTACATGGTCTTGCTTATAGGAGGTAATTAAATTAGTCAAACGCATAGAAACAGGAAGTAGAATGGTGGTGCCAGGGTCTGTGGGGAGGGGCAGTGGGGAGTTATTGTTTCATGGGCACAGAGTTTCAGTTTTGGAAGATGAAAAACTTCTGGAGATAAGTTGCACAACAATGTGAAAAAACTTGAAAAATGGGTAAGATGGTAAATTTTATGTTGTATTTATTTTACCACAAATAAACATTAAACACCTATTTTTCATTACATTACCTCTCTCTGAAAATCTGTCAACATGGGCTAAGTTAGGACTTTTAGGAACGGCCCCCTGAGAAAATGGTTCATAGAGAAAAACTCCTCAGCCAGCCAAGCCGAGGAGACAGGAGTCATTGTGATTTAACAGGAGCTTCAAAAGATGGCAGCATAAAATTTTCTATCCCAATCCACCCTCTAAATTTTCAGGATTTAGCTGACAAACTTAAAGCCAGGTGCCCACCCAGGTAAAGGGCATAGTCAGGCGCACGCAGAACACAGAGTGAGGCAGCAATCGAACAGCTTTAGGTCCCTTGCTCCCGCTGGCCATTCGCTTCTAGCAAACAGGAGCCCCGGGGAATAAAATCTATACCTGTGCATGTCAAAGTACTTTCTCTCCAGGTGCCTTTCTCTGTGCACACAGAAGTGATCTTGCCCCCACGGCTCTCAAAGCCCTCTTGACAGGCGTAGTGAGCCACACTGCCCAGGCTGGAGCTGTGATTCCCCACCAGGGACGCATGCTGCACTTCCGGAGGACGGCCGCAGCTGATCTCTGCAAGGGGAGGCAGCACAGCACTTGTCATGACCCCGAGCTCTACCCCCATAATTCATATTGTGGAAATAAACATTTAGCAATGATAGAGGCCACTCATGGGAAAAGAGAAAACACTGGTCCAACTGCAGGTATACAAAGTAAGATTGTTCAGAAGTACAGAAATTTACAAACTCACATACATTAAAAAAATCCCAATTATAAGATTATTTATATTATAAAGACTTCCTTGGTCAATGAAATAATCCATCTCAGGGTTCTTTTAAATATCAATACTTTCTGGTACCTTTTGCCATGCACCTTCAAATCATTAGCTCCTGAGTAGACAATAATGCAATTGTAGGAGTCCTGTTGCCAAATGAATATTTAATTATATATATATAAAATCTCTGAACTTTTTTTTTTTTGCTTAAAGTATTACAAAGGGTATTACATATGTGTCCATTTTTCCCCCCTGCCCTAGACAGTCCCCTAGCCTCCCCTATCCCCCAGTGTCTTATGTCCATTGGTTATGCTTATATGCATGCATACAAGTCCTTTGGTTGATCTCTTACCCACCTACCTCCTGCCTCCCAACCCTCCCCGGCCTTCCCGCTGCAGCTTGACAATCTGTTTGAGGCAGCTCTGCCTCTGTATCTATTATTGTTCAACAGTTTATAATGGTCTCAATTATCCATGAATAAGTGAGATCATGTGGTATTTTTCCTTCATTGACTGGCTTATTTCACTTAGCATAATGCTCTCCAGTTCCATCCATGCC